GTGGCCTCTGGCAGCTGCCTGGGGCCAGGGGCAGGACCAGGCGGCCCCAGCCCTGGCAGCCCCCATCCTGCTGCATTGAGCCCCCAGGCCCCCACCCACCCGCTGGCTGCGGGTGGGGCCCCAGGAGTGGGGTCTCGAGGGTGCCCCTCCCTCCCCTGCCCTCAGTGCCCCACCTTGCTGTGCCAGATACTGACAGCTGTCCTTGGCGGGCACCATTGCCAGTCTGAAGCCAAATCCAGGTGGGGGTGGGGTGGGGCTGGTGATGAAGGGGGACATCTGACTGCCCAGAGGCCCCCGCCTGGCCCCGCCCCACCCCCACCCGGTCTAAGCCTGCCATTCTCTCTCAGTGTCTGCACTTCTGCGGAATTTGTTCCCTCCACCTGGAATGCTTATCCCTGCTCCTTTCCCCTGGCAAGTTTCTATTTGCATGAGACAGTTTGGACATCCCTTGGGTGAGCACTCGAGACCAGGTTCCCTGTCCCTCCTCTGAGCCCCTCGAGCTTAATGGCGCCCATGCCCAGGTGCGTGTCTGTAGAGGGCAGGCTCAGGTATCTGCGTCTGGCCCAACTAGTCAGGACTCCGTGCCTCCACCATGGAGTACAGGAAGAATGAGCAGGGGACAGCCGTGTCACCCAGCAACACGAAGTAGCCCTGAAATCCCCAGGGCTCTTCTCTGGGGGAAGTGTCATTTACTTTGCAAAGGACAGAAGCGACTAGCCCACAGCCAGCTGGCTGGAGGGTGCAGGGTCTAGGGCAGTGGCCAGAGGCTACTTCCTGTTGAGGGCCGATGGTAAACACCATAGGCTCCCAGGGCTGCAGGAGCGCTCAAGCGCTACAAGTCTTCAGCTTCCCTTGCTGGGCAAAAGTGGCCATAGACAACAAGAATGAGGGGTGTGGCCATGTTCCAATAAAGCTTTATTTATGGCCACTGAGATGTGAATTTCGTACCATGTCTATGTGTCATGCGGTAATATTCTCCCTCGATTGTTTCCACCCCAGTAGCAGGCTGGGTTTGGCCTGGGGGCTGTAACTGGCCAACTAACCCCTGGCCCAGGGTGAGAGTTAAGTGTATTTCCACCTTGCCCAGGATCAGCCTGGGGGGACCTCCTCCACAGCCCCAGCAGCTGCAGAGACAAGGAGGAAGCAAACTTATACACCCTCAGACACAAAGCATTGTAACCAACCTATTGTCTTACTAACTAACCATTTCCCAAGCCTTTGTCTCCTGGATTCAGTTACCCACTTCCCATCTCTGGACGTCTTTAGACCGGACTGTCCCCTTGTCCTCTGACTTATCTCTTCAACCTCTGGCTGGGCCTGAGAGCAACCCCTCGACCTGCCCAAGCTGGTGAGAATCCCAAGAGAAGGCCATTAGGTACCTGGAAGCTGCTAGCCACCACTCGTTACTGACAGGCTAACAGCATGGTCTGACCCACCTCCTGGTCCAGGTTGGCAGAGGAGCTGGGTGCACCCTCAGGGCTGTGAGAGGTGGGGAGAGGGTTATGGGGCTGAGAGGGGGTCTTGGCCAGGCAGTGGAGACACTACAGGCAATGGAATGTTCTAGACCAAGATCTGAAGGCAGGAGCTGGCAGAATCTAGTCCCTCAGCCCAGGACTAGATGCAAGGGGCTCCTCACTGGACAGAGCCTGACCCTTCCAGGAACAGCTTGTGGGTCCCAGTCTCAATCCTTGCTCTGACACACTCAGCAGGGTTTGCCTGGGTCTCCCACCATCCTGCTTATAGACCTGCCCCATGTCTTACACATGGCCTTCTCTATTTCAGACTCGTTGTTTGGGTTCAGCATTCTCTGGGCCACTCATTCAGTCAACCAACACTGCTAGACCACCAGGGACCTGCCAGATTGGCTCTTTCCAGGCAAAGACCCTTTCCAGTCCTTGCCCTGTGGAGCTGATAATCCGGCAAGGTAGACAGGTGACAGCCAAGTATTGAGGCCAAGAGCAGGGCCATCAGGGAGCGAGAGGAGCTGACAATAGAATGTCACCGGGCGGTGACTAGAGGCTGCCTCTCTGGGGAGGTGGCAATAGAGCTGAAACCTTACTGAGAAAAGGGGACAGCCAAGCAAAGACCTGAGGGAGCTGCAAGTCCAGAGAAACCAAGCGAAGTCCCAGAGATGGAGGCCAGCCGCATGGGGGGCAGATGGAACCACCATAGCCCCTCAGAGGGGCAGAGGTGTGGAGGGTGAGCGGGCCATACAGGCCCTTCCAGGAGCAGACTCGCTGCCCCTCAAACACGGTGCACGCTCAGCTACTGCGCAGAGCAAACAAACGTCACCCCAATAACCTGCTATCCAACCAACTTGCCACTTAACTAAGCCCTGTTTCCTGGGTTTAGAGTCACCCTCATCCCATCTCTGGGAAGCCTCTGGAGGCTGGGCGAGGACCAGGATCCGACTGGCATTTGCTCAGATCCCTGGCTGTTGGGTGAGGAGTCAGGCCTGGGACCTCTGGGCAGGGCAAGGGGAGCTGCCCGTCCTCACTGGGAGGCTGGTGTGTGGATGGAGCCTAGGACTTGCCAAAGGAGGTGAGGGCCGGGTCTCTTGCTGTGGCAGGCGTGGAGGGCTGAGCAGGAGTGGGCGGAGGACAGGCCCCGAGACTGCTGCTCTTGGCCTGGCTCTGGCGTGGGCGAGGTTTGTGGCCACAGGGGAGCCATGTGTGGGCATGTCCCAGGGCTGCCCGCCCGCCGCTCCAGACACAGGACCTGCAGGCAGGGGCGGCCACCACGACCCACCCGCG